TCAAATCTTCATGTGGCCCAGAGCGATGCAACACAACCCACGTATTTCAAAGAGCTGAAGGAAAAGAGGAGGTCCAGGAGTTCATTGGCTGGTGAGGAGAAGGCGCCCTCCCAGAATGGGGGAGCACTGGTGTGCGGGCTATGGCAGCCCTCCCCTCCTGCCTAAATGTTCCTCACCTCAGGAGCTGACCACGTGCCCTCCTGTGTCACTTCTCACAGGAACTTGCCCGGGTATTGTCAAAGAGCCATTGTGCTTTGTCCCCAGGTGGCTGTGTCGTTGCAGCACCGGTGCTGTGGACCTTGTAGATCCACAGCTCGTAAAGCAGGCTGGCAGCTTAAAGGCCTGGTTATTAACAGTGAAGTACCTAGTAACATATTAGTTACTAATAGTAACCTGCATTTCTATTTTATTATTAACAAAGAAAAACATTTTATCCCTGACAGTAAGTGGAGACTGTTTTACCCTAGAATCAAGCAAGAGGAGATACTGAAGGTTCACATTTTCCTCTTCCCTTGGAGATCAGGTAGTCGCTGGTGCTCTCTGACCTTCTCCTTTTTTATTTATAAGCTCTTAATGATACTTCACTGTGGATAGCAAATCTTTACCACCACAGAATCCCAAAACACAGAAAGAGCGGAATCTGAGCCCTCATCAGCTTCCTGACACAGCAAAGAAGAGGAGCAGCATATGCTGCAAACGATTTTTCCACCATTGATACACAGTAAATTTTCCCAAACTCAAGATAAGATGCTGTTCCCAAACGGTGAAAGAAAGTGGTGGCAGCTCCATGCAGCCCCCAAAATCTGGCCAATTTTGCATTTCAGATGCCAGTCTGACCCAATGATCATGTCAGCAGCCACTCACCTATCCCTCTCATGGGCAGCACTATGCCAAGATGTTGGTATCTGATGAAGCTATTTCTCCAGGCTTCATAGATGCAAAGGAGGGGAACCTGTCCTGTCCCCATCTCTTCACAGGTGCTGGTGGCACCTGGGCTATGGCGCAGAGCTGTGAGGGGTGCCAGAGGTGCCAACCCCAGGGGCAGAAGCCAGTCATGGCGGGGGATGTTCTGCATGGCTCTAAGTGCCCACCTCCAGGAGTCTGTGGTCTGGGGGCTACCAGGGGAGCTGGCAAAGGGATGTGGGCAGGCAGGGGACAGGAAAGGGAGCAGAGAGGACCTAGGGCACCATCTGGTGGCTTCACTCACTGCCTTCCCTAAATCCCTGTCTCACAGGGTCACGGTATTGCATGGCCAAGAGCTGAAGAAGCACTAGGTCTTTCCAAGAGACAGCCCAGCCAGAGGAAGAGACCCCTGCCCTTGGCCCCGACTTGCACAGCTACAGAGTACTGCTGGGTGGGACAGCAGTGCAAACCAGAACAGTAATAACCATTTCATTTGGTGCTGGTCAGTCAAGCACTGCCCTTGATAAAACCGGCCCTAGCTGGGTCTTTAGACACTATTGCCATACAGACGATTAACAGTAGTGACACAGCCCTAAGAAGGAAAAAGAAGACCAGACAGACAGAAGCGATGAAGGAAAACACTTTGCTCTACACCTTGGACATACATTTCATTGTCATTATCCACCACAACAAGGTCTTTCTTGTCTACAGAGAGAGGCAAAATATAGTTGGCACATTTCATACAAAAGAACAGTACCCATGCAAGAGCTTCTCTGCGGAAAAGGAACCAACAAACCAACAAACTACACAAGTGCACCCAGTTTTTTGCCTTCTCAAACTAGGATTTACTGTAAAGCATTACGAAGGGGTGGGCTTAAAGGGACTAGATGACCTCAGCATCACCAACACCCTCTGCAGCAATGTCAGCTAAGACAACTCCGTGAGATGATCACGGTGACAGACTGCATCTTTCAGGACCAATGGCTCCCACCTGGTGGAGAGGGCAAAGGATCCTAGTGCAAACACAGCACCTCCTTTAGAAGGTGGCAGGCACCACATTTCCACCTCGCACCACTGCTTACTTTGATAATGGGTCTCCACTTCCCTGCAATCCTGTCAATACAAAGGGATAATCCAACAACTGGGAATCACAGATTATACCACCATAACCTGAGAGCATGCTCTGTGCATAAGAGCACCGTGCTGGGGGAAGCAAGTGGAGCTGTGGCCCTTAGGGACACAGTTTTAAAGAGGAATCCGTTGTCAACATTCACTTTAAAGCAAAACGTGTAGAGTAAACACAACAAGCCAGTCATCACCTCTCTCCTTTGTGGAGCTTAATTTAAGTGGATCCCTAATTTCTCTTTTTTTTTTTTTTTTCCCCAATTGCTCAACACTTAAAAATGAAATCCTTTCCTCTTGCTAGTAATACTCATTTTCTGCATCTATTCTCATGGGCCATAGAGCCAGGTAAGACAAAAAGACCAAATGACTGCCTTTTTCCTGAACAAATCTCTGCTACAGAGTAGCTATACCAATATTATATAAATTACATTTCCTAGTCTCTCCTACCTGTGCCTGAAGGCATTTCCTCATACTTCCTTGGAAAACTCTGTACCATTTAAAAACATCTCTGCTCTTGCAGTCTTCTGCTTTATACCTTTCTCTCTCACACACACTGATGCTACTGCGGCTGCCCATGGCGCAACAATGCAAAAGAAGTGATACTAGCTTGTGGCTACATAGCTTCAAAACTTCCTTTTTCTTGTGCAGCAGCCTTTTACCCTTGCAGAGCCAATCCAAAACCCATTGAAATCAGCACAGCGACTCCCCTTGACTTTGCCAAGCTTTGGCACACAGCCCAAACCCCCAGATTTGCCAGTGTTTTCTTGGAAATTTTTACTTTTTCACTTAATTGATCAGCACCAGGTGTGATGCTTCCAGTAATTTAGCAGTACCTGTTCTAGAACAGTCTTTCCTATTCCAAATACCATTCTTCCTCTCATGTTTCATTTTAAAGAGCTTCAGCTACTTACTATATAGAATTGTAGAAACACACTATTTAAAAATGTAACAGAAAGACAAGATGAATCAATTCACTGCAAAGTGAGATCCTTGCCAGGAAATTTCCAGTAGCATCCTGTATTTTTAGCATTTATAAAATTTAAAAAGCAAAACACAAAAACTAAGCAGCATTATTTTGAAAGCTTTCACTTTTCATCTAATCCACCAGCTTCTGCTGAATATTTTATTGCCATACTGCAACATATTTATAATTAATCTCATTATTTCTTCAAATTTGTTAAGGACAGGAATTGTTATACCTGTACAATCCTCTGTAAATTCTTCTGTGAACACAAATGTTTTCTGGTCATATTAGTAAACACTAAAATTGTTGACTTAAAAATATTTATTTATAATTGTTGCAATCACTTAACAAATGGAAAACGGGTCTAATAATCCACACTGTCTATTCATTGCTCTTTCTGAAATGAATTCCTCAACACTGGGAAGAGAAAAAGCATTTTCCTGTGGTTAAAGAAAGTCCAAATTGCATGTTTGAAATCTCTTCTAATAAAAAGAGCAAAGCAATAAGCGGATTATCTCTTTAAACATAGTATAGGAAGGCTGCAGGCCCCGGAGACATTTTTCATAGCCTCTATCTCTGATGCATAGCAACATTATCTTCAACTAGAGAGGGTCCTATGACCCTGGAGCTCAATTTTGATTTGATCTTCTTCTTTAAAGAGGTTTCTATGATTCCTCTCAAGTTATGCTGCATATTCTTATTTTGGGTTGGTTTTGTTTGGTTGTTATTTTGGTGTTGTTTTTTAATCTGAGATAAAAGAGCCCCAGCTTTTTGATCCACTGGTTTGATCGTGTTATATGGATATTTAACGTAACCTCCTCCCTGTCAGAACTAGAATATGCATCAGCACAAGTGGTAGGCAAGTTCCAGCTGACAAGGAGAGAGAAGAGCTTGGATAGAAAATTCACCTCTTGGGCCTCCCTCCTCCCTCCAGTTGTTCTACATTTCAGAACTGGTCTACCCAGACAAATAACAGGTGGGGATAAAGGAACCTTATACCCTTGCTGGCAAATACTGGCGAGCTGAAACGAAGGCAGACCTATTCGTTTCGGGGCAGAGGTACTGCACCTGCTCCTACAGAGGGTCAAAACCCCAAGCGATAACAATGCCCATTGCTAAGAAGAACAGGAAATTGGGGAGCTTGCCTTGAACTTCTCTGGGCTGGAACCTGGCCCCAGACCCATGTGGCTTACGCAGCCCCAGCAAGGGAGTTTCCTCGGGTTCCCACCTCCTTGATCCTCTTCCTTGTTCTGGAAAGGGCACTGCCACTGAGACATGTTGCCAGGCAGGGATATTTTCTCTGTTTTCCTTTTCTCCATCTTTATCTCTGTCTGTGCATCCAGTCCTCACCATATACTGCTGATATGGCTGAAGGGAAAGCATTTACTCAGAGGCACTGATTTGAGTCGACTGAGTATAGTCACAGCAGGCATCTGTGACTACTTGATGGGATTAGCAGATTATGAGAAAGCATGTTTCACTGTGGGGTTCCTAAGAAAGGAAAAATGGGCAGGTGGATGCTTGGATCTTGGTTAAACTATGCATGAAGGCCTGATGGCCATGTCAGGAAAGCCGTAGGCACAGGATCAGATGGACTGCTGCAGGTCAGGATTGGAAGATCAAGACAGCAGGCAGGGAGGTCCTATCATTTACAGAGGATCAAGATTTAAGTATTTCAGCCAGGCCAGGTGAGAGAAACCCACACAGATCCCATCTGCACCATTTCTAAGATATGTGTGAGTGCTTGACAAAAGCAGTTTTTCTTTTGCATCAAACAGCTTTGCTGCAAAATAGCTTTGCTGCATCAATGCAGACAGAGCCCCAGTGGGATTTGAACAGATGCATTCTGTTGTTAATGAAGGACAGTTTAGGAGGAGCCAAGGGTTCACAAGTCCCTCATGGCTGTGCCCTGAAGTTGCTGTGGATCTCTGCAGAGAACTGGGGATGTAAGAGAGTAGTTCTGCCGTACAGAAAGATGTCTGGTCCACGTAGGGTCAGATTTTTCCTGTTAGATATTCTCATACAATGTATCAGAGGATTCTTCTAGAGTTGTTTGCTTCTTAGGTCTCTGCAGAATGATGAAAAGGAGAAAAAAGAAATGGAGGAAAATTATTCAAAAGAAGATGAATTAATTCTTAATAAGCAGACACTGACATTTGTTCTGTTAGAAATGGCTATAAGTGATCTGCCGAAACGGAAGCCACTACAGCGAGAAATGTTGCTCCGCCAGAGATGAACGTGACTAATCCAGCCCAAGGGATGAAGATGCCTCCTTTACTTGTCACTCTTCCCCCAAAAAGCTGTCAGACAGGGAGGGGAGGGAAAATTGGACTTGGTAAAAAAATAAATCACTTTGGATTCTGTGAAGGAGGAATTCCCTGACCTCCTCAATCCTGTTTCTTCAACAGTTGAGTCTATTCCTCACAACTGTTCCTTGTGTAGACAAGGCGCTGACAGACTGATATTTTAAGTGCTGTGTGGCACAGGCCTGCTGTAAGCAAGGTTACACAGCAAGTAGCTGAAATGCCACGGGGTGAATGAAGCCCTACCTACACTAGCATTTTCTCTGTTGCCACCACCAAAGAGAAACATTTTACAGAAGCGCTGAGTGCAGGCACCTCCAAAGCATGTGGGATTAACCCCTCGCTACCCAAGCTGGCTGACAGTCCAGCGCAGCAGCATGCAAATACTCTTGTTGCAGGGGCTCTCTGCCCCAATTCACAGCTCCCCCTCCATGCGCAGCATCCTGCAGCAATGGCTGGCCTGGAGCCTCCACAGCAGAGTCAGCCACCATTCAGCAATCCCAGCTCCCACTCACAGGCCAAACCCTCTGGCCCACAAGTCTCACCCTTAGGGAAAACACCCTGATCTATTCTGGCACAGCTGGCTGGAGGAGAAGTGTCCCAGGCGGTCACTGCCCAGGACAACTGAGAGGGAAGCTGATCAAGGTGCTTGCAACAGTAGTGGAAAGTGCAGTCAAATTCTCCTGTGCAGAGATCACGGGGCCCTGCCGCTCACACTTCCCTTCCTTCTGACTGGCACAAGACCTGAAGACAGTGGTGTCTGCTCTGGGTGAGAGAGCTCATCCCGTCCCCTCTCTTTGCTTTCTTCTTCCTTGTTTCTCCCATCTCTACTTCAACCTTTACCCTGCCCTGGCTAGGACTAACAGCACCAGACCCACACAGATGCTCCTTTGCTCTTGCGTGGTTGCTTTGCTCCTGCTCTGATTTACAGCCCCGCTGCCCCCCAACACAGTGGTTGAGTATGTGCGGGCCACACACAACCAATTCCGCACAGCCCAGACAGCTCCTTGGTAGGGAAGAAAAACCCACATATACACTGCATCTCATCACCCAGACTGAATCATTTCAAAAGAGGCAGCTGATAAAGGTGTACAGAAGAATAAACAAGACAGGGAAGAGGGTCAGGAATTACTGTTCTCCTTATCCAACTCATTCAAAATGCAGCAAGAACACAAAACCAGGGATGATGTATTTTCCAGTACACATGATGCACCAGGGTATAAGAAGGCCTATATAAAACAACCCATCCTTCCCCTCAATAATCAGATACCTGCCACTGCCTTTGCTACCACCAACCACTGTGGTGCCACAGCAATAACTGCAGGAGGCCAGTGGCCTTGGGACCAGACCACATGGCAAGTAGCTCTGACACAGAGGAGGCCGCTTGATTTTAGACCACCTTTTCCTAAAAGGTGAGAGTTATGAAAATGCCTCAGACGCTGGAAAATACTGTCTTTCATGAAATGGAGGGATGATGTCAACTGAAGCTGGCACCATGCTCTTTGTTGCATAGGCAAGCTGGGGAACTCTTCCCCAACAGGACATCAGTGGGAGGAAGCAGGAGACATTTTTCAGGAACATTTTCCAACATTAGAAGAGTGAATATATTTTTTAAGCAGATGAGAGGTCTGGAGGGGAGAAGACCAACTAAGTTCTGAGGACAGGAAGAAAATGTTCCCTGGGGTCCCTGATGCAAGTTTTGTCCCTATGAAACAGCTGATCCCTGCCAAAGGCGGGGTAGAGGTTTGTGTGGGCCTCTGGTCTGCTTCGTGTGGCCCCCCCAACTGATCTGCACCTGCATATCCCGAGTTGCAGCTACTTTTACTATGAGTGGATTTAATTTCTTGTCTCTAACTTGTAAGTCCCAGCACAGCAAGAAGATCCAAGCCCAAAACATACTCACACTGCCTTTTCCTAAGCCCCAGAGCTGACAGCGACTGTATCAGCCCAGCCTCTGTTCAGACCATCTTAGCTTCTGCTACCATGAAAAACGGCTCTTGGGTGCTTAATGCTGGTGAGAGCAAAGCTGTATCCAGGGTCTGCCCCCGGTGCACAGATTCCTCTACCCAGGAGGACTTCTCAGCTGCCTAAATAATCTGGAAAGGACAACACTGAGGGCCAACATCTGACCAACTCTCCGTGAACGTCCATCCCATTCAGAGGGAGCAGCAACGCCAAACCCCTCAATGCCTTTCAGCGTACGTCATACAGCAAAGCATCTGCATGAAACCAGGACTGCAAGAACTAGTTGTGCTGCAGGAGCAAGGGTTCTGCTGGAAGAAGGAAGATAGGCTACATGTGCAGCCCAGCTGGTGAGTGGATGCCGCGTCCCATTTTCCTCTTTTGGTGGGACTGGAAGTGGGGAAGGAGCAGACACACTTACTGCCTGCTAGGGCCGTGAAGACTCTGTGAGTTTTCTTTCCCCATGTGCCTTGTGCATAAGGGAACTCTCCAAGAACAGGGCCCCAGCCCTTACCTTCCCTGGAAGACTCTTCCTGGATGACGGGTTGTTTGTGTTGTTCTCAAGGATAGAAGAATAGACATCAACTTGCTGCAAATCCAGGCACTGCACAGGGAAGAGAGATGAGTGTAAGGGTAAAATGAATTACTTAGGTTTAAAACAACTAATTGCCCACTCTGTTGTTCCCCATCTCATGCCTGACATTTTTTAGGAACCCCTGACATCTCCAAAATTTTTCATTTCCTGACCTGAACTTGGTCAGAAAAAAATGCTTTTCCCCTGAAAATTTTACAGTGCGACTGCATCATCTTCCCTTTTCAGGCTCACAGAGACGGGCTTTGATGCTACCTACTCTGTGTAAGGCAGTGGAGAGCAATGCCAATGCCCCTGCCTCTCTCCACTACAAATTGTCCCAGAATGCAGAATAAAGACCCCTCTGCCACATGAAAGGATATTGTGCACCATGGGGACCACAGGTAACGGGCAGCGCTCTGCATCACCCAGGACTGTTTAGGTGCCTGACACCCACAAGCTCTTGCTCATGGTTATTCTGGGCATACAAGGGTGAGAAGAGAGGCGAGGCTGAAGGTCCTGAAGCACAGGGGCTGCCAAAAATGGGAAACCCTGCATTTGGCATGATTTCTATTTATTGTCTGGGGATTTTTCCAAGCCAGAACTCTCCTTTCTTCTTAGAGTGAGCAAAGAATAATAAAAAAATCAATACATGCCCAGGCCCTCAAACATATCCATGGTCCCACACAGCTACACAGAGAAACACGCACACGCCCTACATGCGTATGCACCCGCTGGTCCCCCAGGTAATCGTGTCACAAGAGATGCGTGTCAGTTTGAGTGATGTTCCAGATCTGCCTGAAGGATCAAACATAACAATCAGGAGGACTTTTCCATGTGTGTTTCAAGGATGACAGCAGGTTGCCAAGGTGGCTGTTTCTCTGGCAACAGGAAGGTGGGAGGAGCTCCGGCCGCAAGAGGGGCAGATGGTATTAGTGGAGAGACTGCAAAAGGAGCGAGGCGCCCTGCAACACAGTGAGGAGGATGAGCAAAACATGGGGGCTTGATTCTGGGGCTGCCAATCACCTGAACCCCCATCATTTCATCAGAAGTTGCAAACACTCAGCATCTTTCGGGATCGTGGCCAGCAGGATGGTGGTTTGAACAGGACCAGACGATAGAGGAGTAGCATTTGGGAGCGGGGCTTGGAACAAACAGGCACTCAGACAGGAGGGGGCTGCGGTGAATGGAGCGCTGCATGGCTCTCCCATTCCCACTCCTCCTCCAGGAGCAGTCAAATTATTTCACCTGTCTGCTTCCCACTCCCAACAACCCACTCGCCTACACAGACATTCCCAACTATTTGCATGTGCACGTGTGTGCATGGAAAATCCCATTTCCCTGTCCTCATTTCCAATTCTCTTTGTGGCGCTCGCAGTGAGGACCTCGTCCTGCATGCTGCGCTCCCAGCAGCCTGGCTCCATGTCCCCTTGGCAGCACAGGCAGCCTCTCTCACTGCTCTAGTCTGAAGCTACGTGCAAGCAAGAAGAATCCTTTTGGTGTTTAACCTCCCAAAACGATTCCCCTTCCTCCACAAGCCCTCTTCCCGTGGAGGCTGCTGACAATGCTGGTCCTTTGCTGGCGAGTTGGAAAGCCAGCGTCTCCAACTGCCATTTGCAAATTAATTACTTTTACTTGGTCACTGACCACCTGCTACTGTCACAGCAGAGGCACACAGGCCTCTCTCCTCCCTGCTAGCAGATGCCTTCCTATCCCCGAGAAGCCGCCTTGGCTCCCTCGCGCCAGGAAAAGTTCCTCTGGAACCCACCTGCACTGCAGGAGTTCTGTTTGCTGCTCAAAAAAGCTTGTTTGAAGTGCACTACGGATGAAGCGAGTCCCTCAGGTTGTTATTTCCAAGCTGCTCATTAACTAGGCAGCTAAGCTGGAAGACGGAGGAAAATACAGGTTTGGGTCTGGGCAGTGCAGTGAGGTAGAGCTGCTCTGGGGCTGCAGGAGGACAAAGTGGTCTAAGAACACCTGGCAGCGTAGCAGGAACAAAGTAGCTGCCCAGCAGCCCCTTATTACCAGGTTTTTTTACTGTGTACACCCACTCTCAGGGACCGCAAGGTAAACAGTGGCACCTGAAAGAGCCAGTGGGGAAGATATTTGCTCCTCAGGATGTTCAGCAGAATGGTTTTGCAGAAGGTGCACTAGGACCCTTCCCATGCCAGGGGTGAGCCTTGCTGCAGTGTAGGATAACACAGAGCATTTAATGAGCTGCACCAGCCAGTTTCAAGCCCTTAATTCCATGTCCAGTGCTGCCTCCTGCTCCCAGCTCCAGGCCTGCAAGGACATTGTGGTTCCCTGACTTGACTTTTTCCCCACACTCTGACCTCGTGCTTTCCCCCACAGCAGCACATCTGGCATGTGCTAGCCTCCTGTCCCATCACCTAATCTCCAACCTCCTTCTTTATCTCATTACTTGGAGCTACTTCTCACTTGTCCTTCCCTTCTCCTTGCCTTAGCTTACCCCAATGCTGACCACAGATTTCTGCCCTCCCCATGAATTAAGCACTAAGTGTTCAACACCCAGTTTAACACCAATGCATTTTCACAACTCACCTAACTTCAAACACAGCTTGCAGGGCTGGGTTTACACTACACAGAGTCCCAACAAAATTTAGCAGTGGGGCACCAGATTAATTTTTCAAAGGAAATAAGGTTTGTAAACTTTCCACTCTCCTCACCTGTCCTGAGGGCCCATCCAATGCAGGGTCTCCATCCCAGGGCTCAGGCTGTCGCCCTCTCTCCCCCATTAACTTCCCCATTACACCTCGCAGCCCCGTGCTTCCCACTTCCTCACCTCGCAGCCCTTCTCTCACCACGTGTGGTGTCTGCAGCAGGAGCTGCTGCTTCATGCCTGAACGAGTCATCCCTCAGCAGCTGCTCCACGGCAAAGTAACCTCCAGTGGGCGGGCTGGTACCCCCTCCAGCACACAGGAGATGGTCCGAGGCTGCTTGCAGCTCTGCCAAAGAGGGCTGAGCCACCTGCCCTGCACACTGGGCTGGCTATAAGCCCCACACAGCTGGCGTGTGGTGAACATGCTTTGAGGGAAGGCCGGCTGGGTCAGATCTACAGGGCTCCTGCAAGCACGGGGGCCCGGCCAGCTCCTGGGACTGCCTGTGCCTAAGGCTGGCTCTGCTGGCTTGCTGTATTAGCCTTAGTGGGGCCTCCTGAACAGAACAACATGATGAAACATGTAATTAAGATGGAGCTAAGGATGCATGACGAGGCCGACTGAGCGAGAAATGGATTTGATTTTTTTTTTTTGTCTCCTTGCAGAAATCATCCACTTCAGCAGGAAACTACCCATTCGGATTTTTATAAGCTCGAATTAAAAAGAAATTACTTGATACAAATGAAAAGCTTTATAACCTGCAACCTCCTCTACGCAAAGCATTGCTTTTTGCTCAGAATAAACATATCACATACAATATATAGGGCTTTCTTATAAACCTCTACTCCAAAAATTAAAGGGCCACAAAATGGTGCCCCCCAGCCTGCAAAGTGAGAATAAGAAGGAAGCAGGTCCATCCTCTTTTTCATATCTGCCCCCTATCAGGTCTCCTGCCTCTCTGGCAGAGCTTTGCTCCTCTTTGTAGTACATTCTCCAGAGCTTCACTTTGTTTAGTTTAAATGATTAATGCAGCAGAGCTTACAGGTTTTCCTCGGAGAGACTTTTCCAGCCCTTATAGTCCTCACAGTCAGAAAGGTTTCCTAATATTCAGGCAACATTCTTCTTTACTAACTTTAATTTTATTCCTCCTTGTTTGTCCCACAGATCATGGGGAACAAAACCCCAAAACTTCCCTTCTTAGTGCAGCAGCCCTCCCATGGAAGTAAAAGGAGAGAAAGGAATCCACTTTAAATGGAGCTGGATGGGTTGTAAATGGGATTGTGGTCATGGTTACTTGAGGTAGCTGAGGTCTGGGCCTGACATTTCAGGAGAGCCACTCCAATCCTATTACCTGCGATGCTGCTGCTACTGGGCTCAGAGAGTGGGAGCAGTCTGTGTTCCCCAGTTTGGGAAATGGAAAAAGGAGATCCTATGCAATGAAAAGGGAAATGTTCCAAAAAGGAGACTCCATTCACTTTCTTCCTGCCCTTTTTCCCCCTGAGAACTAGTCAGCCTGCTCAGGACTACAGTGGTCCGTGACACACCAGTGAAGCTGTCATGGCAGGAGCTCTGGACAGCTGGGGTTGTTGTGGGGAGTACTTCTCTGCCCCTTTCCTGAGCCATCATTCTCCAGCTGGGGAGGGCTGAGATCCCCTCTTCCTTCCTGACTTCTGGAGACCCTTCTACCTCTACCACCAGGAGCCCTCTCTGGCCCCACACTTGCTGCTCTGTGCTGCCACACTGCTGGCAGAGGGAAGGGGGCTGCCCAGCAGGGCATGGTGCAAGGCTCTGGCACTGGAGAGGCCACGAGTGGGACCAGGATGGAGACACCCAACAGTCCTGAGAGGAGCTAAGCAGGGAAGACCACAGGAGGAAGGTCACCAGTACCAGGCCAGTATCCAGGTATTACTTATGTGTCACATCATGATACTGAAGTTATCTGTACCATGGCAGGGAAAGGAAGGGTTGTAAGATGATGTGGACAGAAGGGATGGAGGGCGATTCTGGTACTCACGTCATAGACAGAAGGTGGTGGTGGTGGTGGTGGTGGTGATGATAGGTTGGCTGAAGGGGGCTGCGTTTCCACCTTCTGCCTCAGGATATTCAGCTGGTTCCTTCTAGGGCATAACACCTGCAGAGGACAAGACACAAAATGACACATGTGGAGAAAAAAACCATCTCCCCAAAGATGAAGCGAACACCAATGCCATGTCAAAGCTAGCTGCTCGCACACCCCCGAGTGCTTCCACAGCAAGCAGTGCAGGCAGTCTCTGCACAACATGGGCCAGTTTCTTTCCTTATCACAGAGTAAAATGGAAGAGTCTGATGACTTACAGTGGAGGAGTGGAAAGGAGAACTGGGCTCTGCATGTACATAGAAATCACTTCCACCACTGAAACTTATCCGGGCGGAGGGTGTAAGTATTTAACAACACACAACAGTGCTGTAGGAGAGGGAGTAAAGCAGGGCCCTGTTCAAAGTGTGTGTGGGAATTTCAGAGAGGCAAAATGCAGTGACTTTTGTCAGGATTTGGCTGGGAAGCTTTTGCTAATACGCAGAGTCTAAAGAACAGCACTAGACAACCATTAATGATGACATATAGTCAGGGATACAGTAATGTGCAAGTCCAGCATGGAGTTGAAGGAAGAAGGTTTCTTCTGAAACGTTTTTTGCATCGGATGACTTCTCCTTGAACACGCTTCATTCATGCACAGATAAGGGTTAGCCCTGCTCAGCAAGCAAGAGAGGAGGCAGAAAAGGCAGAAGGCTTTGCTAAGTATCTCTGTTCTAATTCGGAAAGAAGTGGGATGATTATATTCACATCACATGAAAACGATGAACTGCTTTCCAGTCCATTAGTAACTAAGGAGGATGCTAAATAGCTTCTCTTAAAGACAAACATTTTTAAACCAGCAGGTCTGAGCAAGCTGTGGTGAAAAATATGGGCTGTGTTCTGCAGGAGGGCAAATGTAATGACTGCATGATCTCTTCGGGCCCCAAAGAGAGCCCGTAGGTCTGAGACTTGCTGGCCCACCTCAAAACCTAGAGATGCCAATCGGCAAGTCGTGACAATGCCTCCCTCCTCATCCCCATGGAGACACTGTCTAGGCAAGCAGAGATGGGGGCCTGTCTCCAGCCTAGTCACTCTGCTGCTTACACTCTTTTCCCCTCCAACACACTG